CTTGGTGCTGGAAATGCTAAGAGAAGGAATCACTAACACAGAAAATGTGGGAACTAGAATAAAGACAGGCAAGAGGGTGTGGTGGAAGGAACCTGGGTGGTGGAGTCAGGAGGAATTTACTTCCAGGTTTGATGGCAATCTGAAGCTCCATTCCCCATCTGTAAAATGGACAGTTGGGGCAGTCAAGGGGGAATTAAGGACATGAAGCAACTTGAAAGTGATACAAGCTATTCCTTGTCAATCAAAAAGACTAGGAGATGGGAGACTTGGCTGTGGTCAGACACCCTCATTGTCTCATCATCTTACTTTGTGATCCCTGAAGACCCCTTTGCTACCATTCAACTATCCCTGAAGAGTCACACCAGTGCCCTAGGCTAGGGCCACAGACCCCTGGAGAAGGCAGATGGAGAGGCACAGGCTACTTCTAGCCTAAGACCTGGGCTCAGCAAGTGGCCCCTTCCCTTTCCCTCTAGACAGAAGGAGACAACAAAGCTCAAGAGGCTCCCTAGCCAGCTGCAATTTGATTTTTTTTTTTTCCAACAGGAAAGGAAACAAAGACCAAGGAGTTATCTCAAGTGCAGGGAGCCAGGGGAAGGGTCTTCAGACACAGTTGCCATCTTTGCCTCTCAGGCCAGGACTTGACCCCTGATGACAGAGCTGGGTGGGGGCTGAGTGGTCCAACAGGAGCCCTCCCACAAGCTGCTCCTGGATGGTAGGATCCTCCTCAGCAAAGAGGAGACCACAGGTGAGAAGCAGGGGACAGCTTACTCTCACAGCCTGAGGAGCAGGCACTCTGTGGGCTCATTTAGGTGACACTACACTCCTGGCAGGGAGGGGATAAYACATTCAGTGTATGGAAGGGCAACTGAGGCTCAGGGAAGTGAAGTGACTTGCTCAAAGTCACAAGTTAGCTGGGAGGAGAGCAGAAAGGAACAGTTTAAGTCTGACAGCTTTCCTATTCTAACACGACACTATATTGTGACTCTGCAGGGATCTGAGTCCCATGATTGCACCACTGGTCCAGGGTGGGAAGCCACCACACCATCCCTGCACAGAAAAGACCCTCGACAGACCACACATCAGGGACTGCAGGTGAGTCTGAAGGGCTGGCAGTTAATAGTTGGTTGCCCTCACACTCTGCTGAGGATCTTCACCCTGTAGGCCTTTTGCCCTTGGCCTCCTGCGTGTCTTAGGTGCCGCCCTGCATGTGCCTCAGGGGCCCTCCACATGCCACCCGTTTCTCCCTCATCTTAGCTATGAAGGCCTTAAGCGTTCTCAGATCCTTTGACCCAGTAAATCCACATCAGGGAGGGAATCTACCTATGAAAATGGTTCAGACCACGCATGAAGATTTATATAAAGATATTCACTACAGTGTGATTTAAAATTATAAACTGGTACCCCAAATCAAAAAGACCAGGATTAGGATAATGTGGTGGGCTTTGGCACAGATTTCAGATCACAGGCATTTGATAACAATTGAGTGAGGCCCAGATATGTACCTTTTCAAAAGTCCCCCAGGTGACTTGGACCCATAGCTGGGCTGAAAACCACAAGAGTCACTTGCTGGGACACGTGCAGCCATTATCAATGTTTAAGAAGAAATTTTGTAAGATGTGAAAAATTCTTACACACACTAGAAGGCAAAAACAAATGAATAACTGGGATACTGGATTGCTTTGTCAGGAATATCTCAACTGTCTGAACTGAGAGCAAACTGAAGATTCTAGAAGCAGGGTGGAAGCATGGGAACACTGTATTTTAGCTCCAGATGAAGGGCTTGGGTGTTTCCTATTACTCTTTTTTTTTTTCTTCTCTCTCTCTGGTACTGGGGACTAAACCCAGGGTCTCACACATGCTAGGCACGTGATTCCTATTTCTATTCCTCTGTTATTTTAAACATTTTTACCAGGAGCAGGTGCTAGTGTGTGGGAGTGTGTGTGTGCTAGGTATCAAACCCAGGGTCTCTGCATGGTAGGAGAGTGCTCTACCACTGAGCTACACCCCCACCACAACAGGTGCTATTTTTTATAACCAGAGAAACAACTAGACGACTAGTAGCCCTGGAAGGCCTCCCTGTTCCTTTGGCACTGTGTTGCCTGTCACCTCAACAGACTCTCCCAAGACACGGTTCTTGGTCACATACCTACTACCCCTCTTTTTTTCTCAGGCTCACATGGGCTCTGCAATCATTTTAATTAATTCCCCAAACAATCTTGTAAGAGAAATGTCGTTACCCCATTTTTCAGATGAGGAAAATTTGTTAAAATTAAACTTATGGCTTGAAAACCATCTAAGTACACATGGTAATGTCCTTTGGGTTCAATGTTTGGTTAAAAATTTCAGGCCTTCTGGCTTCCCTCTTGGCTTAATAGAAGAAAACCATTTTAATACACAGAAATGGGACTGAAAATGTGACAAATCTGCTGCACTTCATTGATTCTAAGGAAATTTCTTCCCATTGTAACATCTCTGGAATCTGGATTTGTCTTATAATTGATGACGTCTTTCAACTGTTCCTCTTCTTAAGATAATGGTATATTCTATGATTGAAAGGCAGCTCAGATTCAAGGAAAAGTACGATGTCTACAATCACCTTACCTTCAGAACAACGCTCTTAATGACTATGCTACTACTATGAACTCGTGGCAGTGAGCTTTTTCTTTTGCTACCAAGGGCATCCTCCTCCCAGGTGCCATATCTTGGGAGACATCTTGACATTTCTTGACCTTCCTCCACCATATTTTATCTACTACTGGGACTGGTAATCTCTCCTTCATGGTACCTTTTCCTGATGTAACCAAGTGAAGACCTCCTCTGAGTTCCTATAATATTCCTCTAACTGTGCCTCTCATTTTCTTTTAGTCTATCACCATCATCATACTATTCAAACTTTATACCAGTCAGGTCACATCTCTGCTTAAAACCTTATACTCCTCACAGGGTACAGTTCACATTCTGAGCCTGGCAACCAAGGCTCTGCCAAATCTGCCTCCAACCTCTCCTGTAGCCCATCTCCCCACGCAAGCCCATCACTCCAACAAAACAGTTGAGCCATTGTCACAGTTTCAGTTCAGGTTTAACCTTTCCTATGAATATTTCAGATTTGTTTGATCCTTACACCAGGAAGTAGGGAAAGGGTAGGTAAGGTAGTTTCATCATCATTCCACAGGTGAAGAATTTAAACTATAAACAAATTAAATGGTGTGCTCAAGTATTAAACAGCCAAGAAATGTAGAACCAGGCTTTAGACTCCTGGGTTTTTTGCCTTTAAATCCAGTGCCTCTCAGAGCCAAATGCAGCCAATCACAAAGTCTTCCTGTGGAGTAGCATGTGTCCAGATCACACCTAACAACATGCACCAAGATTCAACAGCCTCTGGATTCCAGACACATAACAAAGAGGCAATCTCAGGAATGAATAATTCTAGTGTGTTGGTTCCCAGCAACCCAAGGAAAGGACTAGGCCAGCTGTCCTGTTCTCCATCTAGAGAGGAGAAGAGTACAGTATTCTCAACAAGCACCAAACCTGAACGGCATAGTAGATCCAGGATTGTGACCAAGAATCGGAGCCACCTCACTTTAAGACAAGTGGGTATGGGAACTTGCTTTAAGCTAAAGAACTTTAGAGGGAAGTATTTCTCAGACAGCAAAAAATAGGGTGCATTCCTTCTGCTTTGTGACCATGACATCGCCTGAAGTGGAGGCAGCATAGGAAGTAAAGCTTCAGAGCTGGGAGGAGAACGAGGAGGGCAGTGGTGTGAGGATGCTGCTCCTGAGTGCCCACCACCCTAGCCACTTCATAAGAGATGCCCTGGGTGAAGGAAAAGCAAAATGTTTGCTATTACTCTTTGTGTTTCATTTGGACACATGATGGAGTGAGGGCCATAAAGATATAAACATGAGAAATGGTGGCTTATGAGGAGGTGGGATTCTGGTTCACTCTCAGGATTTTTACCTGAAGTATACTACATGACAACCACTCATCTTCTGGCATTTAATTTCATTAAATACTATGGGTTAAAACAAAACCAGAAATAAACAGTGCTGGCGTATAGTGTTACCAAAATGGGTCCCTTGCACCCCACTCCAACTGGGAGTGTACTCCTTGGCCAGGAGGCCAAAGTCAACAGAATAGAGAGCTGTCAGGCAAGAGCTTCTTGTCTGAAGTCAGGAGAAGTGGAACTGCCTTTGGCTTAAGGCAAGACTCAACGTCTTCACATCCTCAAACAACTCCAGCTCATGTGGCAGTCAGGGTATGTGGAATAGTTGACAGAGGCTCAGAAAGGTGGAAGAGCCATATAGTTGGGCAACATTATCTCTGGCCCTTGCTATGCTTTGTGGTCATTTAAATCATGACCACCACACATGGGAGCCACCAAGAATCTCCAGGATTTTTTGCTTTCTTAAGAGGAAGAGAGATCCCTTAAATGGATAAGAAACATTAAGGCCCAGGGAAAAACCAGGGGCTTTCTGGTAAATTATTTCTCATTTGGAAAGCAGAGCTGATTGCTGCTGCCTCACAGATGTCCATATGAGCAGGCAAGTGCGAAAGGCTTCATGCTATGTCCAACACCAAGTTGGTGCTTATTGTGTGTGTAGAGGGTCCTCGCATTCTTCCCTTGCATATGAGGGGAGGAAGCCCCCACCATCTCCCATGATCTCCTTTAGATGAGTTCAAAAACCAGAACCATGATTGCATGTGGTCCCTTGGTAGGCATCTTAGTCTTTTTTTTTTTTATGTTTTTGATACTATTTCTTTAATAATTAAGAGTGAAAAAATGCATCAGTTTTATTTGCTTAGTGATCTCTTAGGGTTAGATAGATTTTTTTATAAATTTTTATATGACAAAGCTATCCTTTAATTGTTAATTGCTTGATTTAATTATTTCATAGTGCATACATGTGTCAAATAACCACATTGTAGACCATAAAAATATAAATAAGGCATCTTAGTCTTGATTAAACACGGACTCTATCATGTGCCATGAGGCTACTCACCGGCTCAATTTTCAGGGCATTCCGGTAGCTACCAAAGAAAGCGGCCTGGGCCTTAAGGAAGGCTCTGGCTACCCCATCGCCTGTGGTTGTAGAGACCTTCTTTAGCCTGTTCTTCAGTGAGGAGATCTGGTAAGGGAGAGAAAGGAAACAGGTTGAGGGAAGGTTGCAGGAGGATAGCTGACTAAGCCCAGAGTCCACGGAGCCCTAGAAAATTTCTAGAAGGGGTTGATTTGACCTTTTTGCGGAAAAAAGAATCACTCAGTATCAGGAAAGTTTCTATTGGAGTATGTATTTGTTTATTTACTGTGGTGCTAGGGATCAAACCCAGGGCTTCCCACATGCTAGGCAAATGCTCTACCACTGAGCCACAGCTCCAAGGGCAGGTATTTTTGTTTTGGTACTGGAAATTGAACTGAGGAGTGCTTTACCACTGACCTACATCCCCAGTCCCTTTTATTTTTTTATTTTGAGACAGGGTCTTGCTGAGCCTGGCCTTGAACTTGTGATCCTCCTGCCTCAGCCTCCTGAGATTACAGGCCTGGGATTATAGCTGTGATTACAAACCTGCACCACCGTGACCAGAAAAGTTTTTCAAATTTAAGCGAACATTGCTCTTATTAGAGCATGTCTAATAAAAGCAAAAATAAAATTATTTTTAAAGCAATTATGTGCCAGGGAAGTACTTTCACATAAATTTCCTAATTTTTCTTCTGACAATCTTGTGAGGAAGGAATTAGTGTTCCTGTTCTGTAAGAATGAAATAGTTTCCGAGAACTTAGGTTACATGTCTAGAGAAAAAATCCAAGGAATGGCCAAAATGGAATTTGAACCAAAGTCTTATAATCTAAATCCAAGCTACACAAAGAGTTTTTCTTTTTGTTGTTCTAATTCCATTCCATCTGTGATATTAAAAATATTAGGAAAAAGGTTTATTTGTATATCTCACACCTCATACTCTGAAAGAATAGTGACAGCTTATAGAAACACACTCAACAAGTTAAAACAAAATAGATAAGAAGGTGACATTAATGGGAAAAGAAGAAGCTGTGACTAGATGTAGTTTGTGAATGTAAGCTATACGATAGTCCTATATGGTGGTTAGATGTGAGTTTCAAATTTGACTTAAGAACTTTCTCGTGACCAAAGCAAAGAGAAAAACATGAAAGTTGAGAGATTCCCTGGGTCCATGCATTATAAACAAATCAGTGGATCAAATGAATAAAGATTTTCCTGAATGTGGGACCTAAAAGAGACTTTCCCCATGAATCTATGTAGGAAAGATCATGTGACATGGTTGCCGTTGCCTTCAACATCGGGGCCAACATCAAGCTTCTGAGACTATTTCTAAAATGCTCTTCATTCATCTCAGGATGCCACATTGTATAAACTTCAGGGCACAACACTCACATTCCATCACATTCCTGGTATTGTGCCATGCGGTGACCTTGAGTCATTCATTCATTCAATAAATATTTGAATAAATATTTGAATAAATATTTGAATATCTCTTACATGCCCTGGACTATATTAGGGGTTGTGGCTACAATGGTGACTATAACCAGATGTGGTCCTTAACCTCATTTTAGCTAACATTCTACTAAGGAAAATACCCATACATGTGACATTGTTCCTGTGACAAATCTGTAACAGAGCTTGCCAAAGTAGACCAAGAGAAACCTCCTGGAGGGAGACAGGCTTGAACTGAGATCTGGAAGATAAGCTAAAGTAGTTAACTGGGCAAAGAGGGGAGGGTACAGTGTGCTATGCATGGGGAATAATGTGCAAAGGATCTGTGGTAGGAAGAAATTCAGAAAATAGAAAGAACTTTGGCTTCAGTATAGAGACCAAGGGTGAAGATGGGGCGAGACGATGTTGGAGTTGGACATGGTAGTACATGCTTATAATCCATGCAATGGGAAGGCTGAGACAGGAAGATCATAACTTTGAGAGAGGCCAGCCTCAGTGAGTTAGTATGACCCTGCCTCAAAATAAAAAAATAAAAAAGGACTGGCATTATAGTCTAGTGGTAGGGTACTCCTGGATTCAATTCCCAATACTGCACGAAAAAAATGATGCTAATAGAAAGGCAGAGGTCAGAAGGGACTTTTCCTTTGTCTGAAGGGAAACAGCTAGTGATTATTCTTAAGCTTGTAGATGAAACATTAAGAGTATATTTCAACAAATCAAGGACATTTCAGAGAAACTGATACCTAGTGGTGTGAACATTACTTAAGGATAAAACTTAGGATAAAATTTAAGAGAAAACAGAAATTAGATTTGGGGGGTTCATGGATCACCTACAAATGTGTAATATGAATGGGTGATTTTCTGAGCACAAAATCCATAGCTTTCCTTACAGTACCAACAGTGTCTGCAAATCTACAAACATTAAGAACCACTGATCTGGATGGACTGTGTGCACTTGAGAAATGATCCACGGACACTAAGCCTTATTGTTAAGCTTTTATAAGGGAATTTAAAGATGGCTTGTGAGACAGCCCACTATCATTCATTATTTTAAGGTGTAGCTCAGTGGCTTTTATTATAATTACAATGTCATACAAATATCACTATTATATACCTCCAGAACATTTTTATTACCCCAAAAAGAAACCCTGTGTTCATTAGCTGTCATTCATTCCCCACCAGTTATACCCCACCACTGTCCTGGGCAACCATTAATCTACCTTCCATCTCTATGGACTTTCCCATTCTGGACACATAAAGGAATAATAAAATAGGTTGTCTTCTTTGACTGCATTACTTCACTTAGCATAATGCTCATTATGTACAAGGTTCATCTATGCTGTAGCATGTGTCAGTACTTCATTCCTTTTATGGCTAAGTAATGTTCCATTATCTGGGTATAGCACATCTGATTTGTCTATCAGTTTCCACTTTTTGACAATTGATAAATAATGTTGTGGTGAGGATTCATGTACAAGCCTTTGTGTGGAGATACTTGAGATTTTGAGGCAAGAACCTAAATAGCAAAAATCCTATTGCCAGACTTTACGTGATAAACTGAAAGGACACATGAAGTCAGAAAGCACAGAACTGGCACCTAGCAAGCCACTAGTGCAGGTTAACTGAGTACAGGGCAAGCCCCTTTGTTGTTGCCCATGAGACATGCCACAGGGCTGGGAAAGCGCACCACAGGGGTGGCTGCCCCCCCTCTGAATGAACGTAAGCCTTGGAAAACAGTTTTCCTCTGAAAGCAGCTTGGAGTCTACCTCAACATCTGGGTATATATAACTGCTTTATTGTGACCTCCCCTTTCTAGGACCCATCGCCACAGTGAGCGATGCAGGCTGCTCAGCAGCCGGGCAGGCTCTGCTGTGGACTTTCAACTTGAAACAGAAATATGAAAAAGAAATGTGCTTTATTAAAATGTTAAAAATATTACCCTTCCTACCCCCCAATAATAAAAATCCTGCCTCTCTCAGAGACTAGGGTGACATTTCCATCCTTTGAAATGGTGCAAGCCACTGTCGCTCTTCTACTGCTCCTCAAAGGCCTTGGGCCACCTGTGCCGAAGATTATTCCTCACTTAACCTTCCCTGGCCTTTCTCTTTCATTCGGGAGGTGTTTAATTACCTTGGATTCACAAGCTGCACTTCAGGTGAGCCTCTCCTAATGGCCTCATTACCATTTTACACAAAGAAGGAGTCGCTGATTGTAACCGAGCAAATATGAGAGCGCTCCTTCCCGCCTGCCCCCGCTGGTCTGAAACTAGCCAAGTGGTCCCGGGCTCCTGATGCCCCTGTGACCACCTAGGCCAAGGCTTCTGAAGCCCTCCCTCAGCCTGCAACACAGAGGAGCTTTTGTCTTGACCTGTCATCACTTCCAACTTTGAAACTGCAAGTCTATGTGCATCTAATAGCTGCTGATAGCATTTTGTCCTTTAAATAAAAGCGAGGGAAGAAAATGTAAAGCTGAAATAAACCACCATCCTACATCTAAAGTTGAACTTGCCCTGTGAACTCCTGGGGGTGCTGGTCCAATCATTACATTGAGGTTCATCAGGGGTAACACGGTGGGGGGGTGTTGAAGTGCCATTGAGGACAGCTTCCTCCTTTAATCGGGTACCACAGGAGGAAGACAGAAAACAAAGGGAAGAGCACACAAAATTTAATGTACCAGCTCCTCTCTACAGCTCCCCTAATCCTCCTCCTGTGCCCCATTTTGGGCACTGTCACATCACCCCACCAGACTCCTGGACCGAAGTCAGATTCTGTACTTTTCCATCCTTCCCACAACCATTTTCATGTTTCATCAACACCATCCCAGATACAGCCTGACTCTGCCTTCTCTCAGTGCCCATGGCTGTGCCCCTGAGAGGCACAATGCATCCATCCTTTTTGGCACAGACTGGTTATATAGCTATCATAGCAGGCTCTGTTTTCAGTATTTACTTGACACCATCCATCTGTAGCTCTCCTAGTAATCTTGGAAATATCCAAGTTTAACCACTTCAGTTCTCCATCAAACCCTTCAATGCCTCCACCCTTTGCCATCATCACCTTCAAAAATATACCCAGACTTCCCAGCAGTCAGTGCAGGCTTTCCTTGGCTAACTGGCTCCCACTTGCTCCACGCAGCACATTCTTGCCCAACACAGCAGCGCATGAGCCACTCCATCAGTCCACTTGCCAATACCTCAGGCGGGGTTCTCTTGACTCTTCATGTCCTGCTTATGGACTGCCATTCACTCTTTGAAAAGACTGTCCAGTGCCTGTCATGGAGGGCACACTAAATAACTATACTACATTCTTCTGATAAAATGCCACAAAGGTGCTAGTGACAGTACTCTATGAACTGATGTGAAAAGATGCCCACAAAGTAGCCAAATGCGGAAAAATGAAAGTTGTAGAGTAATACGTATACATGAATCATTTAAAAAATCATATGTAAATATATATGTATGCAGTAAAAACCTAAAATGCCATGTATCAAAATTTAACCATGCAACGACACTTTCACTTTCTACTTTATACACGTGATTATTTTGATTATACTTTATAAAAAAGCATATGTTACTTTTATAATAAAGAATTAAAACGAGGTATTTTTCTTTAATAGCCAAATTACCCATTGCCTTGGGGTAAGCAAAAGACAGAATCCAG